TTAGGAACCAAGGACTGCTGAGGCCACTCGCTGCGTCAGGAGTGATGGAGAGATGTTTTATGAGTTTGCTGCACTTCTTGCTTTTGGAGTCCTCCTGGTACCTGCTTCCAGCATCTCAGGGGTTGTAAACAACTAATATTAGTATGATAACTTTCTTTTTTTCAATTGGCCAGTCCAGCTAAATAGAAATCATGGTGCAAGAAAACTGTCTCAACAGCCATGTATGTTCAATACAATCAGACACTGCATCTGCTGTATTTCTCTACGTATCCAAAAACACCTCCAGAATCCCCTCTGTGTGCCTGGCATGGTTCTAGGCATGGGGAATAAACAAAGGGAGATAGACCCAGTCTTTGCCTTTGAGATATAATTCAGTGTGGTGCAGTGGAGGGTCTAGTACAGAGTCTCAGCATCAGAGAGCCAGGAGCACTTGCATTTAGAGTCCTCTTATTCTCTTCTCTCTCATTAGATATCAGGAACACTTCCAAGGAGTCAATGGGCATTGATAAGTGATAGGGCTGGATCATTTAGAGGGAACATTCTGTAGGAGAGGGCATTATGAGCAGTGGCTCAGAGTTAAAAAAAAAGAAAAAAAAAGGTGTTCAGGGAACAGATCTCTTAAAACACCAGTTTTGAGTGTAGCAAAACAGTTGAAAGTCTAGGCTATCTCCATCATTGTTAGTAACAAGATAAAGCATTGAAGTGTAACTCCATAAGTAAGGGAGAGAAGAGGCATGACAGACGTGGTAAAATGCTTACCTAGCAAGCATGAGGCCCTGAGTCCAAACCCTACCACTGCCAAATAAATAAATAAATAAATAAATAAAAGTAAAAGTGTTAAAGTATTTTATTGTCTATTGCTGCTGCTACAACAAAATGTTTGATGGTTTAAAACCACACACGAATTTATTATCTCATAATTCTCTTTGTGCCTGGGAAGGGAATTTGAAATGCGAATTCTCCAATAGGAGACAGGAATTCTCTACTTTATTTTTCCAAATGCCCACTGGACCCAGGGTCCTTGAAATCCATGACAAAATGCATTTTGATGAGTTTCACAAAAAAGAAAAACTCACTAAATGGAAGTTAAGCAGAGGTTTATTTAGTAAAGGTAGGCAAAGTAGAAGACAGAGAAAAGGAAAAAGGAGTGCCTTCTGAGATGCAGAAGGTAGAAGCTTAAGGGGCTCAAAATAGTGGTCCTAGACTGGGTTGTATTTACGCCTTCTAGGCTAAACTGGGGAATCTATTTTTAAATTTTCCTAGATACACGGTCACTGTCACCTGGTAACATTTATTCCAAATATGGAGACAATGGATTTAAGATGGGTCCATAATCAAAGGGTTTTGTGACACGGGTATCTATTTTTGTGACTTGAGCATTTCTTTCTGGTCAAAGAATTACCTTCTATTCTCAGACTAAATTACTCATGGAGGGAGACTGCAAGTCACTTACCACCTGAAGAAAGGGACGCTTGTACTTTCTTAAAAGGATTACTTTAACCTTTGCTGCTGTAAAAGAAAATTATTTAGAGGTCAACATCTTAATCATAGGTGTGGCTTCTATTCAGAATTTGGAATGCCAGGCAAATGAAGGGGAAGCAGAACATCACTTTGCCAAAGACGACTCCCAATTGGGTGGCCACTTTTATATTGTGACATTTTATTCATTAACAAAATATTTAAATCTCTTCAGTGATTTCTTTTAGTCTTACTTCATGACTATGGCTTATTTTTAGATGTTTTCTGATTTTTCTGTTGTCTTGTCCTAACTATCCTGCTCATCTAGATTAGAAACCTGACATGGTTCTCACCATGTTACAAAAACAAGGTGTCAGCTGGGCTGCAGTCCTTTCTGGATGCTTTAGAGTACAATCTGTTTCCTTGCCTTCACCAGCTTCCAGAGTCCATTTTCATTGGCTTATGACCCCTTCTTCCATTTGCAAAGTCAGCAACAGTTGTTCAAGTCCTTCTCATGTCCTATCATTATGACCTCATCTTTTGCCATTCTCTTCTAGTTTTGAGGACTCTTGAAGGTCCTACCATATAATCTGTGGTAATCGTTTCATCTCCGATTCTTAACTTTTCACATCCACAAGTTTCCTTTTGCCACGAAAGGTACAATACTCGCAGTTTCTTAGGATTAGCACCTGGATCTCTTTGGGAGGTTGCTCTGCCTGTCATGGGCATGGGTTAACAGGAAAGAGAGTGATAATATTGGGGATCTGCCTGAGGAAGACTAATGTAGCATCAGTGAGGAAGATGGACTGGAGAGAAAGAAACCTGTTCTAGAAGACCTGTGATGATTTCAGAAAAAAATATGATTAGCCCCAGTGGGAATAAGAAGAGGGAGACAGATGGAAATGACAGAGTAGGAATAGACTCCCTGGGGACTGGCACATGGTTGAGTGGAGTGTGAGGACAAGAGGCCAGAGGTGGAACTGTCAAAGGAGATCCAGGCTCTGAGCATCCCTTTGTGAGGCTAATGTTGCTGTGAAGCATTTGGTTTAGGGAAGTAGGGTAGTGGCAAATTAAAGTTTGCATTTTGTTATCACTAGAGAAATAACCTTCAGCTTCTCAACTTTAGAAGACAAATACAGATTCAAGATATACATTCCAGGGAGAGAAGTAGTAAGTGGAAATGCCAAGAATGAGAAGTGTTGAGAAAGACAGGCACAAGAAAGGTGAAAAGAAGTGCACATAATGAGGAAAGAATGAGATGGGAAGAGAGAAAAAAGCATCAGAGTGAAAGGGAGAGGAGATCTAAGCAACGAGGAAGAAAGACAGAACTAGCAAAAGAAGGGAAGTGAGAGACAGAAATACCAGCAGAGAGAGAAACAGAAAAGGAGAGCTCAGAGGTTTCTGGTAGGAATGTTTGATTAATTTAAGCTTCAGTTTCACTTGAGTTGTATTCACAATTTTAACTTTTAAGACTGTTTTGGAAGATTTATTTGGGAGATTAATCACTGTGTTCACAGCGTCTCTGTCAGGCTTCCAGGCAGCCTCAGTGGTCCTTGAGGGGGAAATTATTTCTTCCAAAATCTTTGTGACCCCCTTGCCTTCTCTGCCTGGGTGAAGGAAGGCTCTGCTCTCTGCTCTCCTCCCCTCCCCCACAAAATGCCATGTTTAACTCTTGGATTATTTGTCCTTGGAACTTGGGGCTTTTGTCAGATGTGTTTTTCACTGTGTTGAGGTTCCTCAGAGATAATGCAGCTGGCTAAGTGACACACAGCCTGGGCTTTGATAACGCTCAACACTACTGCCAGAGAAGATCCCCGTTTTACAGATGAGAACACGAAGGCTTATTCCATCCAATCACAGGCTCAAGGTCACAGGTGGTCAAAGCTGCAAGTGCAAGCAAACTCAGGATTAGAGAAGAGTGGACTAATATGGGCAGATCACTTAGGCAGACTTCAGGCATTAATGAATGCGTTGTCTCTGGAGAACTTGGAAGTCTATCCAAAGTGCTGGGGGCTTACTCTGAACCCTGCTCCCAAACTAACCCTGCCCTGGCAGGATCAAAGACAAGAGAAGGCACTAAGCTACACAGAGGAAGGATTTCCCCTGCACAGACACCACAAAAGCTTTCATGTTTATTATCTTTGAATACAGGAAGTGAGTACCCAGAGAGGCTAACCAACTTGCCCAAGGTCACCCAGGAGCCAGCAGTGAGGCCAGGACTTGCACCCTTCCCGCATCAAATGGGTAGCGCGCTGGCTAGGGACACCACATGCTGGCCATCCCAGAGAGGGTGAGGTCTCCGCGACCCGTCCCTGCACCCACTCCTCTGCGCGCCCGGTTGCCCCCGCGGTGTCCCCCCATGTCTGGTGGGGGAGGCAACGGGCAGGACAGCGGGGACCGCTGGGGCTGGGGGCTGCAGAGCTCTCGGAGCCCAGCTCAGCTAGGAGGAGGACGATGCACTGCGAACCCAGGTGAGCCGAGGCTGGGGTCCCACGCCTCGTTCCCGCCGGCCCCCCGGCGCGGGGGCTGGAGCCGGCACCCGAGGGGGCGGCGGGGAGGGCGCAGGCAGCGGCTGGGAACGCGGCGGCGGCAGCGGCGGCAGAAGCTGGGCTCCGCGCTGGGGTGGCCGCTGCAGCCTGCCAGGACGCCTAGCTCCTCCGCCTCGGGCTGCCGCGACGCGCGGTGAGTGCGCGGGGGGGACCGGGACCCGCGGAGCCAGCGTGGGCCGGTGGGGGATGCAAGAGGGGGCGCGGCGGCTCGGCCACTGGGGGGCTTCGGGGATCTGGACTGGGAGACCCGGTTTTGCCGCAGGCATGGACTGCGTGGCGGCTCAGGGTGTAGGTGGGCTGGCTGTGTAGGACCGGGCTCCGGCGTGGGATCATTGTAGGTTTCGGGCTTCTGCCTTGCACTTGTGTAGGTAAGGACTTGTGAAACTGTGTGAGGTGTGCGTGTGCATGTGAGAGAGAACGCAAATACGGACGGCAGTGTATCTGTCTGTAGCCCTGTGTGTAACTAGATGCGTGTGTGGACTCTATGGACAGTCCTGAGTGTGTAACCAAGAGTATGCTCTGTCTGTACATGTGTGACAAGATATGTGTGTCTTCAACGTCTAAGTGGCTGTGTGTGTGTAAGGACTGTGTGTCCTACACTGCGCTGCATGGCGCTGTCACTGTCACTGCCAGTACTAGAGACCATCCTGCAGTTGTCTTTCACAGAATCCCAGTTCCAACTGAAGATGCTTTTTGCTTGGCTTGTACCCTGTGTGTGGCACTGCTGATAGCTGTCTTTGGAAGAAGTCGCTGTTGAGACAGGGAAGTGCTGGCTGGCAGAGGTGAAGAAGTCCTGGCATGAGCTGGTCTCCTTAAGTTCAATGTTAAGAGAAGAGTCTCTATTGATTTCCTATTTGGTCTGTGAAAATGAGCAAAAAATATTTCTTAAGGTACAGGTTGGTTATGAATGAAAGGTGGCTTTTGATGCTGGAAGGACAGCGATGTCAGTTTGCCCTCTGTGTTTTCATATGCCTGGGGTGGAGTCTCTGGGTCATGGAGCTGTGGGTGACCCTGGCTTGTACTACTGAGTTTGCCTGGTCCCCTGAAACTTCAGCATCAGCGACAGAGGGAGGAGAATTTGCTGTGTGCTGCTGGGTGAGCTCTGCTGGTGAAGCAGAAGGACAGGTGATGAATGTGGTGCCCTAGAAACAGGAATGAAGTCAGGTCGGTGACAAGAATCCATGGAGTTCTGGGAAAGTACATGAGCGGGGAAAAGTTGGTCAAAAGTAAAGACGTTTTTAGCATTCTCAAGTCATTTAAAAATCTTGTTTCTTTTCCTCATGCATCCTCACCCCGATTTCTCTTTCATGTTTGCCTCATTTCCCCTCTGGGAAGTATCTTTTTTATAATTATTATTACTATATAAGAGAAACTATCATTATTTAAACTCCAGGAGAACTATAGCACATTGAAGCTAGCAGAAGCTTCAGGGTGCGTTTCATCCAGCGTGCATTAAGCAGATGGAGATCCCAGTGCCCACAGGCCAGAACGAGCTACCAGGGTCTCAAAAACAGTAGTGCTTCTGGTCCTCCCGTTACCTCAATTCCACTCCTGATGTTATCCTTTCCAGGGCCCTCTCCCCATAATCAACAAATCAAATGTGTGTGTGTGTGTGTGTGTGTGTGTGTGTGTGTGTGTTTGTGTGTGTGTGTGTGTGTGTGTGTGTGTGTGCGTGTATGCACGTTACTTGTTCTTCAACACAGGACCTCAGGCTTGCTAGGCAAGCATTCTACAATTTGAGCCACGCCTCCAGTCTTCACATGTGTTTTCTTCCACTCTCATATATCCGTTACCTCCCTGATTTGTTCATCCCCTCATTTCCTTTAGTCAGTACATTTTACTGACTAAAGGACAGCACCTGAAAATCATCATAATCAACCTGCTACCCACATCTGCCTCCTGTAGTCGAACATACTAACCAGGCTGGGAACTAAAGTCATCTTTTATCTTCCCCTCTCCTTTGCCAGCAGCTTAAACAAAAAAGCAGATTTTTGTCTGTTTTTCCCCAAAACCTCTCTAATCTCTCCCCCCTCCTTTATTCCTACTGATACCACCTTATCAAATGAGATCCATATTTAGGAATTTTCAGACATGGGAACAGTAATCATGGAAAAAATGCAAGGCAAATGCATAGAGAGGAGATCCTTGATATCATCACTGTTGGGCTATGAAGTTCAATCAGTTCTTCAGAAAAATCAAAACCTTTTTCTTTTTTGTGGTTCTGGGGTTTGAACTCAGGGCTTCACACTTGCAAAGCAGGCACTATCCTGCTTGAACCACACTTCTAGTCCATTTTGCTCTGGGTATTTTGGAGATGAGGGGTTGCAAACCATTTGCTTAGGCTGTCCTTAACCTTGATCCTCCTGACCTCAGCCATCCAAGCAGCTAGGATTATAGGGTGAGCTACTAGTGCCCAGCATGAAGAATGGAAATCTTTTGATGATTGGAGCATTATGTGATCTAGATCAAGTCTTTGCCTTTCTAAGTCCTAGTTTCTTCACTTACAAAAGGAAGTGATAGAATCTAGTCAGTAGGTTATTTCTAAGAATTCTCTCAGCTCTAAAATGCTGATTGCTTTTGATGTTTTTGTTTTAGCAAGAAACGTCCCAGCTAATGCCACATATTAACGCTCTTTTTAAAAAGCAGATCAGTTTGTCTTTAGGGAAAATCTATAGGTAAAGAGGAAGAGTGAGGTGTACTATTCAAGGTTGAGCTGTAACTCCAAACACCAAGGCAGTGTCAGAGGAGGTTTAGAGGTCACCCAGTCTCATCTCATCTTCCTACATAGTGGGAATTCAGGATTTCTCAAGTCTTAGCACCATTTGCATTTGGGCTAGATGTTTTTTGTTGTGAGGGACTGTCCTTTGCATTGTACAATGTTTAAACGTACTGGCACACATTAGATGCCAGTAGCAACTATCGTTGTAACAACCAAAACTAACCCCAGGCATTGCTAACTGTCCCCATGGAAGGACAAGTTCCCCCTCTTCTAGTTAAGAATCATTGCTGTGCTTCAAACACAGCTTTGTAGCTGATAGAGCAACATCCTACAATCAAAGAATTGCAGGGTTGCTAGCTGCCTTCCCACCCCCTTCTAACTTAGCAATCCTCACACATTCACCTTTATCCCTTCTGGGTTTTCATTGCCTCATTGCTATGCCTGGAAATATTCAGGATGCTGCTGAAGGCTCAGTAGCATTTCAGAGGCAATATAATAATAATCTTAATAACTCACAGTAATCCAGCCCTTGATATACACCAGGCACAGTTCTAAAAGCTTTATGTGGATGATCTCATTTAATCTTCATTAAGAATCCTATGAGAGAGAGAGAGAGATTTGTATTACTCTCATTTTAGAAGTATGGTGACTCAAGTAATGCACCCAAGTTCTCTCAGCTATTGGGTGGCAGGCCTGGAGTTGGATTGTGTGTTGTTTTATTCCAGAGTTCGTGCTCTGAACTGGCTCACTAAGCTGCCTTGTGTGAAGGGGATCTTGGTGTGAGAGGGTGGAGAGGATCGATTGTAGTGCTAAGTCTGCCTCTAACAGTGATTCTTGAAAGAAGGTGAGAGGCTATAGGCTGTGAGTTGTGCTCAGTTGACATAACGTGACTTCTCTGCTTTTTAAGATGTCTTCTTTTCTTTCTCATCCAGAAATAGTTCAAAGGCATGTATTGAGAGGGGTCGTGGCAGGGTTGGTAACGGAAAGGGGTGTGTGTGTGTGTGCGGGATAACTGAATGATGGTGAAAGGGACCAAAGAGTGAATAAGACATTTCATTTTCCGCTGACTCCATCTTGCCATTCTTCTTGACTTGTCCTTTGAGCCTTCCATTTGATATGCCATTGACTTTTTACTATTGAAGCAGTGGAAAATGGTCACATTTGGACATAGGGAAATATAAATAAAATGCAAATGACTATCAAATTGATAGGACTGGCCTTAAATACAGTCAGAGTAAAATGATTATATTAACAATTAGTAACAAACTTGAGAATCCAAAGTTGACTAAGAAAGTTGACTATTTCAAGACCTTGTGTAAACAAACCAATGGTTTTGTTAGCTGTTAGTGAGGAAATGACAGAACTCTGACTTGGCATGCCTTGTTTTTCAGTTAAGACAGTGGCCCTCAAACTTTGATGAGGGACAGAATAATCTGGAAGGCCTGTTAAAGTGTAGATTGCTGGGTGGCAACCCCACAGTGTCTGACTCTGTGCATCTGGGCTGGCATCTGAGAATTTGCACTTCTAATAAGTCCCTAGGTGATGCTGATGGTCTGGAGACCACTGTTGGGGTTAAAACCTAAATAATGCAGATAAGATCAAGTATAGCCACTTGGAACTTTAATGAAAAGATACCCTATTTCTAAGATAATTGAACATTTGCATTAGTGAGAATCAACGAATGAAGGAACAACAAGTACTAGGATGAACCAGCATTTCTCACTAAGCATCAAAGTTTTGCCTCTCATTTTGAATTTCAGAAAAAAATCTTTCCTTTTTCTTAGCAACTGCACTTTTACATTGGGTTAATTCCTGATCTTAGGTCTTTGTATGTTCTCCATCTCCACTCACCCCAATAACTGCCTTAATTTGGGTGAAAACAGTCTCTCATTATTTACAGGATAAAACAATCAAAAGTCCTTTAATATCTTGTATAGTGCCAAATGAATTCTGATGAGTCTCTGTAGGGTGAAAAAAGATACCTTACCCATAGACCTAGCTTTTGTTTCTTGTGAAGTTACTTTGTACTTCTTTCCCTTTCAAATCTACTTTAGCACAATGGAGAAACTCAACAAAAATTCAAGTCTGCACATTTATGTGTAACTGATTAAAACTTTGAAAACCCAATCAGAAAATTTCTCTTGAAACCAAATTTTAAACTCAATCAACTCATTCTTTCTTCTTGACTATCAACATCTGTTTTGTTTTTGTTTTTAAGTGATTACACTTTCTCCATCCAAACAATGTGCCTCCAAGTACTTGCTCAGAGATAGCTAGCTATTTTGAAACTTAGATTGAATTTCAATAATATTTATTGAATGTTTAGCATATGCTATGGAGTCTTATATACCTAGTCTTCTTGGATTTGTCTATCAATCCTTGAAGGAAATACTGTATTTCTCACTTAAGGAGACGAAGGTCTAGAGATTTCAAAAAAATAAATAAATAAAAAACAATGCAAGAACTCTTGTATTAGTTCGAAGGTTAGTTGTGTTGATAAATATATATTTTGGCTATCTATAATAAAAGTCAACAGCGGCTAGCATAAACAAAAGTTAGAATTTACTGGAAGTGTAATGAGATTTTTCATATAGACTTAAGGAGCCAGACTCCAGGTCTCATGGGTCCTGGTAACCTCCAGACAACCTAGCTCCACAATCCCATAACCTTTTCCTCATTACTGTCATTAGTATGACACATTCCCGAGAGTATGTGTCAATCAGTTAAAATTCTCCAGAAAGAGAATCTGATTGGCTTAATCATTTATGGCCAAGAAGTCACAGCAAAAGTGTAATTGCTTTGGAGTCACCCTTGTGGTTGTGGTAGATTTTCCTAGTAACAAGTGGTCTAGTGAAAAATTGAATAAATGTTCCCTAGTGTCACACAGCTAGTGTGGTAAAGATAGAATTTTACCCCAAAGCTAGTGCTTTTTCCTTTCAAAGGGATGTTTGATGGGAAAACACATTAAGGTGTCATGTCATAAAGACAACCAGCTTTTATTTTCAAGGTCCCTTCCACTCACAGTAGGCATTCTGTGCACAGGGTCCTGATCCTTCCAAATGTGCACATCTCCTGGATTCTGACACATCCTGGCTCCTCTCTGTCTTCTGGCTTCTGTGTCGTGTGGCCTGTCTTTCATTCTGCTCCTGCATGTCATATTTCTGGCTCACCTAACTTGGCTCTGACTCAGATTCTTAGAGCTGGAGGTGCCCATCATCTTGTCCCATCTTTTCTGTGTACAGTAAATAATCATTGTTAACCGGTGCCAACCACTTGCAGCGAACATTGCTGAGAACTCTTTTAACTTTATTTTTAACTCATTTTTTTAAACTTATTTAACTTTTCTAACAACCCTGTGGTCGCCTTTTATTGGTTT